CTTACTAGATGAGCTAACGGGGTCAATCAATCGTCATTTTGTAGAGCGTTTTTTACTGCATCTTTTCTTCATAGAGACAAATTTATAACCACTTGTTTCACTATAGAAAAATTTATTATTCAAATCGAGTCAGGACTTCTGGCCCACCCTTTATGGGTCTATTTTTGAAAAGCTGATTTATTATGAAGCATCAAAAATTCTTTATCTTTCTATTTTCAAGAACTTTGAAATTGTACGAAGACTTTGAAGAAGAAAGTGAATGAACTTTTGTTAAAATGGTAACAAAAAATGATAAGAGAGTTTTTTTCAAGGAGACTACGAGCGCTTTTTGAAAGCCCGTAGTGTTAGGAAATGCAAAAGGAAATATTTCTACTCACTTTTGCTCTAAATCATATCGGACCGTTTTCTTTCAGAAACTGTTTCTAGAATATTTGTTTATGAGTAAAGATATCCTTTTGATATCAACATGCGCACTCTTGTTTTTTCATATTATCTCAGATCTTTCCGATCGACAAGAAAAAAAATATATGTATTGCACTGACATTTATAATACGATATTTAATATAAGATGTACTTCACTTTTATCATTTTAAGAGTATGTCAAACGTTTCATACAATTGTTTCATGCGCATATATTATTCATAGAGGGTGCAGTGAGAGTCGTAAAAATATATTGTTGACATAAATTCGATTCTAGTTGATACAGCCAATTTGAGTGAACAAATATTTATTTATAGTTTTACAATATTAGCTGTATAAGAAGATGAAGAACATAAAAGACTTTTTCTCCTAAAAAACTTTGTTTTAACATTTAACGCAGTATCTATACACATAAACATAAATATGCTTTGTTTTATTGTATATTCGTTTTAAGGCGAGGATATCCTCCCGCTAAACACATTCTCAAACTTGGCTGGTTTGTAGAAGACGCCTTCAATGGTATACCTATAAAATAAAACAAAATTTGGTCAATTATCGACAGTATTATTAATTAATTAAGTTTAAATTTTAATTGTTTGTCTCCCTTTTGTAAAGATTGCAGTTCGATAAAAAATAATTATAGAAGGTCCTGCGTAAATTTGAGAGCCAATGATCTATGGTTATAGTTTCATTAAAAACATTTCAAAATTCCTTTTTTAAGGTATCGGATTATAATTAATGAGTGCTAATTGATGCTAATTATTGTCACTCCGGTGCCTTACACTTTTATTTCTAAGTTTCCGATTTCTTTGTGTTTATGAAGAAATATATCGATTGATAGAAATTTTTAAGCGCTATAAAAATTCCATATTTGTTTTTTCCAAAAATTTACTAATTAGCAGTTATTTTAACCCACTTTTAGATATATTGGATCTCTAAGCGGTTTTTTACCGTGTGCCCACAAAGTCATGTTTTAAATAACTTTTGACGGACAATAGTTAGAGAGTTGCGGTTTTTGTTATTCGATAGCCAAGACATCGCTAGATCTTTGTGTAACAAATGAGCATTTCAAAACTTGTTGAAAATTCGATTTTCTAAAGAATCTCTAGTAAATTAAGACATAACCCTGAAACTCGCAGTCTAACTAAATTAATTTTTTTGCATGAGTAGATAGCCCAGAGTGTTTCCTATTGAACGGGTGCCAGACTAAATCCTGGGTTTCTATGGTTCATGAGTGGTACAGGATTTCTTTTAGAAACCAGATTAACTATTTTAGTTCGAGCCCCAGCACTGGTACTCGGTCACATCCAATGATATTGAAACGGCATGAAACATACATATTCAACCATGCGGAATCTGGAGGCAATGCTCGCTTTCCGAAAAGAATCTCAAAACATGGATTTATACTACGAGTTTCAGAGTTCGATGTCGGTTTTCACGAGATTCCTTACAAAACCGGACATACATCCAACATACCTAAAAGTCGGTTAAAATAACTAATAATTAGTAAATTTTGGAGAAAGCAAGTATGGAGTTTTGTAGCGCTTGAAAATTTCTATCAATTGATATATTTCTTCACAATCACAACTTACGACTCATAAGTTAGAAATAAAAGTGTAAGGCTCCGAAGTGACGCTAATTAGAATTAATTAGCACTTATTAATTATAATCTCATACATTAAAAAATAAAAGGGACCCCCGCTTCCTTAAAGACTGTTGATCTGACCGCAGATCTGACTCATTGACAAATAATCAACAACAAAAAATTTCATCTTGTTAAACAAGGTATACGTTGCCGTTTATTAGTTAATATCAGTTCAGATTAATTTTCGTTTCAGACTTGTGCAAATACCCATATTCACATGATATTGACAAGAAACAAATGACTGTTTGTATAGGTTTTCGAAAATTGAAAACGATTTTAAGAAAAAAATATGGCAAACGTTTATGCATCATTGGTATTGTTAGTCTGGTACTAATTATTCTATACAATAGTTGTTCAACGATAGTCAATTGCGATGTGTCATTAACTAATTGTAGTTGGAAAGAGCATTTTAGAAATGAGAACGGAAAAGTCATCAGGTATGTGTATGCTTTACACATTAGAGAATTAGATAGTTTTCCTGCGCTGCACCGAATTTGATGAAATCAAGTTGGTATATGCAGAATTTTACGGCGAATCCGATAGCAGGTTTCTTTTACTTTCATTTTGTCTTCTTCTTATTTTGGCTCTCTCATTGGGCCTTTTTTTTGTCAACCAATAGAAGAGCCAAAATTTAGGCAAACATCATGTAGATTGTGTCGACGTCAAAGAAGAAGGTAAAATGAAATTAAAAGAATTTGTCGAAGTTGTCGTAAAATTTTGGATATTTAGTTTCATAAAAATTTTATGCAACGCGACAAAAGTACCTAATTTTCGAATGCTCAACTATTTGTTCTCATATTCAGTTGACTAAATTATCTTGCATTAAAGAATGAAACTGCATATTTTATTTTATAATGAATAGATTTTAGATACTCTAAATATGACTAAATGTTTATCCAATAATTTTATGTACACTTTTTAGTCTAGAAGATATATTCTCTATACCACAATCTCAACCTTTATTCAACTACAACAATTTAACAATTCATTTTTGTAAAAATGATACATCGATTGATCTACTTATATTTGTTATATCAAAATCGGCTAATTTCAAAATGAGAAATAGTATTCGTCGAACATGGGGTAATGTTAATATATTACAAAAATATTCTACGCTTAACATTAAACTATTGTTTCTTGTTGATATTGACGAGACAAGATTATTCAACGTAAAATTAGAAAATCAATTGTTTAACGATATTGTTCAAGTACATTTACCAGAATATTATGAACTTGGAACCTATAGGGATGCAGCCATATTTGATTATTCAGCTCGTTATTGTTCACAAGCCAAATATATATTTAAAACGGATGATGATGTTTTTATTAACTCTTTACTATTGGTAAAATTTGTTTCTCAATTAAATTTGACAACAAGAAAGTTAACAGTGTTCAAATGTTCAAATGATCTATTCAACAATGAGTCACTTATTATGTATGGTCATCCAATTAGAAACTCAGTTGTTGTTCGTCATACTAGTCATTCTATTTATAAACGATATATTGTCACACCAAATGAGTATGAATGTTATCAATATCCAACATTTCTTAGTGGTTTTGGCTATCTACTATCAGCAAATATTCGTACACTTTTGATATGTACTTATTATCGTGATCCAAAACCATTTCATTTGTCTGATGTTTATTTCACGGCAATATTAGCCGAATATTTGAATATTAACAGAGAACAAATGGCCAATTTTAACTATAGAATTGATGAAGGATGTAAACGATTTTTGAGTAAACAGAATTCATTGGCATGTGGTACGGGAGCACATTTTAATAGCGATAATAATGAGTTAATAAACGATTACAATCTGTATTGGATAAAAATACTTCAAAATAATCAATTATTTTAGCTAATTTATCGAAAGAATTTATTGCAATTTCCCGTACGCGGCCACCACCAATTCAAGCACATCAGTATATTTGAGAAAAAGCCATATCTCTATTCCAAAAGGGTGTCCTCTCAGTTCGTCCCAAATTGACTTGTCAATTCTTGCCAGAAGTTTTTTTCTCAGTTCGTCCCATATATTTTTTTCTGATCTATCAGACATCTATGTTCGCGCCTAAAAATAAGTAAAGTGTTGTACCATCATTTAGTCGACGGCGATGGTATTGTAGACAATACAAGGTCTGTGTACGTAGCAAAATACCATCGAACAGTTTAGACGACGGCGATGGGTATTGTACACAAGACTAGGTGCGCGTACCGGGCAAAATGTGTTTTTTTTTCCGATAATAGGTTGAAAATTTTTTTAGGACAACGTAGAAGTTTTCTCTAGCTATGATCTT